CTTTCCATTGTGTATTTTCCGATAATGGTAAAAAAGCACAAGGAATATTTAATTGTGGGTTATATTAATTTTGATTTCATATGTTGATGCTCTGAAAGAAATTCAATGTGCATTTTACTCTAACTATAGACGATGATATTCATTGTAAAATGTTAGATTTGAAATTCATCAAACTTGCCTCTCCCATCCGCCAAAATCTGTGTGCATATATATCCATAACAGTTAGGAGTTATTATGGGTTCTGTCAGTTGGTAATGGCTACTATACCAAACACGTTAATCAAAATATTTATGTTTACATGTTTCTTACCTTTGTTTTAAATGACCTCATCTGATGTATAGGAACACTATTCCATATGTCGAAATCATAATGTATATTAGCTCAAAACAGAACTGTTGTCAGTGATTTCTCTGATAAGAATTATATGCATAGTATCTGCATCAGGCTGTAACTTAGTTGAAGAATGCCCTCAGAGGGCTTAGAAATCCGAAGAATGGATCAGAGAACTTTTGAGTTAATGCTAATAAAATATTTCCATACTTGGTTTGAGGGGTTTATTTTGTCATGAAGAAAGCATCAGATTCTGTAATTCTATGTTATTGATCTGGTTTTTGAGAAGATAATTGGTTTGAAAAAAGCAAAGGATTATGTTGTGTGATAAGGTTCCTCCTTGAGAGTTTATAAGTTCAAATCTGATTCTGTATGTTAAAATTTATTTTATTTCCATAATCTTCTGTATAATTTTGTTGACATGTAGACGTAACGCACTTTTATATTCTGTAAGCTGTTTGGAAATTAAGTTTTGTCCATGACTGAGAAAATGATCCTTGCTCTGCAACAAATAACCTAATTTGACTTTCATTTCAGACCTGTAAAGCTTATAGAGATTGTCAAGAAACGTTTTCTTTCCCTTGGCGGGGTTATCTTTGAGCGTAGAAGTGCCTCCAACATTTGCATATATGAAGATGCAGCGGTGAGTTTATTGACACTCGCAAATTGGTAATATTTTCTCCTACCATAGAGTTTGACTGGATTCACTAAATCAGTCTACTGGATACCTACAAAAGATGTAACAATTCATATTCACTCTGTATAAAATACCTCTTCTAATTAACTATCAGTTTACATGAATGCTTCTTTCTTCACAGGTCATTCAACTTGTTGAGGATAACGTCCTGTCATCCCGTCTCATCATTGATGCAATGGGGAACTTTTCCCCTGTGGTGAAACAGGTCTGGTTCCCTTTCTTATACATAATTGTACTCTCACATAGAGTGTTGCAGTATCCTTTCAGAATCAAGCATATTGCATACAGTTGACAGGGAGCAATACTACGCAAGATTGAGTTTTCTTTCTTTTTCATTTTTGTATATACATGCACAGATTACTAATTTAGGTTTATCCTAGTGAAGGTAATGGTTGAAACAAGAAGGAACAAATGAGTGGAAAAACTTCATGCTTAGATGTAGAAAGTCAAGTATCAAAATTCATACGTTGCCCATCCTAAAAAACTAGGTCATGCCCACAAGCAGGCTGGAACTACCTTTGAAATCTCAGTTCAGTGTCTTTTCATTTATAGATAAGACGCGGTAGGAAGCCCGATGGTGTATGCCTTGTTGTTGGATCTTGTGCTCGTGGTTTTAAGGATAACTTGACAAGTGATGTCATTTGTAGCAGTTCGTCTGTGAAGAAAGTTGGAGATTCAGAAGTACAATTATTCTGGGAGGTATTCAATTTTTAAAGTTTATCCTTAATTTTCCACAATTTTGTTTCCTCTTTTGACAATAATTTCAGGCATTTCCATCTGGCTCTGGTCCCACCGATCGCACTACTTATATGTTCACTTATATTGATCCTCAACTGGGATCCCCAAAACTGGAAGAACTGTTAGAAGACTATTGGGATTTGATGCCAGAATATCAGGTTAATTTTCTTCTGTAGTCAAGAATTTTGCAAATGCTACTTTTTCCCAGGCTAAATATCCAGTTAACATTTGGTTAGGCATATTATCAACTGAAGGACAACCTTTTTTAAATCATAAACAAGGTATAGAAGTTTTAAAACATACCATGGAAAGGGGAAAGACGGAGAAGAGAAAGAAGGAGGAGAAAAGAAAAGATTGTTCTTTAAGTTTTGCAGAAAGACTATAATGACCGTCCATTTTTGTTAGTTATTGGTGTGGGTGTTTATGTTATTTGATAGTTTTCCGTTCAAGGAGAACTCTACCTAACTAGATTTTGGGGCTTTTTAGTATATTCGAAACTTGTTTATTTTTTTCATAAATTGATGAAAAAATTGTTCAAATTCATATTTTCTCTTTTGCCTAAGTTGTTGTATAGGAGTAATCGTTAATTTATCTTTTATTTATTACCCATTCTCACTTATTCCCTTATTTTTCTGCCTGCCTTCTCGGTTGAATTTGAGGCTATAAGCAAGTTATAAATTTATTCTTCTTCCAGAAACAACAATCTACTATTTTCTTTCTCTCCTTTTCTTCCTTTTTAACGCTCTCAGATAATAATAATGGATGATGTCCAACCTTTTACTTGTAGGGAGTGTCTCTTGACAATCTGGAGATACTAAGAGTTGTATATGGAATTTTCCCTACCTATCGAGACAGGTAATGATACATTGCATTAAGTGGTCTGAGGTCTTCATACGTGATTTCCATTATCTCCTCAATAAATGCAGAAAACAGTCTTATAATTCTTGAGTTGCATATGTTGGGCAACTGAATGTTCTTTAAATCTAACATCTTATTTTCTTAACGGGGGAGAATTGGCTTGACAGTCCATTGCCAGCTGCTTTTAATCGAGTCATACAGGTGGTTTATGCTACACACTTATAAAGCATCCAATTGTTTATGGCACGTAAGAAATGGATGGCCACTGTAACAGTTTTATTCCCTGCAGTTTGGTGATGCTAGTGGCATACAATCACCTGTTTCATTTGGTGGTTTTGGGAGTTTGACTCGGCACCTTGGGAGATTATCAACAGGTATGTACTTTATAGCAGTTACTATGGCATTATACCATTTTGCTGATTCACAAGGACTGTGAATCATGGAGCTTGAAATCAATGTAATCACTTTGAATATGTAGGTTCTTTTTGCTCTACTGTTATTTATTTTCCTTTATTTTTCTTCTCATATTTGTAATGTATTCAACACGATGGACTTGTTCATGGAAATATTGTGTAAAACCACATTGATTTATTTCGCATGTTATTTAACTTTTAAACCCTATATATAATTTTTGAAAGTTGTCACAGAAAATTACTGATATATATGTTTCTTCTTTTTTTGAGTACAGGAATATACGAGGCAATCAGTGGAGATTTTGTTGACTCATACAGCTTGTCCCTACTGAATCCATACATGGTTGGTGACTTGTATTTTCTGACTGTATGGTTAAGGGGATTCTGTTAAAATATTTTAACTAAATTTGTGTAGTGCAGCCTAACTTAAGCGCTTCATGGCTATTTCAACGTGCAATGTCAGCAAAGCAGCAGTCTAATATTTCACCAGATTTTATCAATGAGCTTCTTTATGTCAATTTCCAGAGTATGCAGGTACGTTATGTTGGGGAAAATACAGAACTTCGTGAGTTCTATAACTTGTGTTATGTCCTTTTTCTTGAAATGCCCAATTAATTTTCATTTCTCTTCTCTAGAGATTGGGTGATCCAGTGCTAAGACCATTTCTTCAGGTTATTTCCCTTGTACTTTGGCTGGATTTTTCAACATCAATTGACTCGATTGGTTTAACTGACAACCTAATTGCAATATAAACGAACTCAATCAAATATAATAATGATGCTGACTTCCTAAAAATTTCTATATTGTCACAGGATGTTATAAAGTTTGGGCCTCTTGCCAAGACCTTAGGCCTGGTAATGCTAAGTAAACCTCAAATTCTTCCATCAATATTCAAGCAGGTAATTAATGATTGAAGATCCTGTTGTGGCACAACTTAATCTGCATTATTCTCTTATTTAAAACTGAACACAATTGAGCATCAATCTCAAACTGGTTGTTGTTGGCTAGTATGCTTTCTTCTTGCGTGATCCTATTGCCTTCAACGACAAAGGTAGTGTCACTCATGGTCAAATGTATTTGCTTGTTTTCAGGTTGGTATCCCTGTGCTCGTTGACTGGTCTGGACATTTTTTCATGCTTGGTTACTATACGTTTCTATCAACCTTTGCAGACCCGTTGATAAGGTAACGGTAGGATTATCTTGTAAATCTGTGACAGATATCTCCTGATTCTGTACTACTTAATCTGTTTTACGAGTTATATATACGCTTTTCAGTGTACTCTTCCACGTTATCTCCTAGACTAAAACTTATTGCATTTCCTGCAAGGTCATTGTTGAGTGCATTGCCTTCTAGGATGAAGTATGAGTGGAAGCGGCATCTTGAGGCATGGAAATATGGAGCAGGTATGGATTACAAACTGTGAGGAGCCATTTAAAGATCACTGAAAAACAACAAGAGTATTAGCTTTCTATAGTCCTCACTGTCAGAATCTAAGCAAGAAGGGCAAAAGAAGCAACTTGTGTTGCTGAAGAGTGCCAGAATAGAAGAAGACGACTCAATTGAATCTGTATGTTGTCTTGTATGTTTTGTATTACAAAGTGTTCAATTTATACAAAAAAATAAAGAACGATTTAGGAAAGTTATCAAAGCTATAATTACACAATAATTGAATAAAATCAATTGCTGACTCTTGTATATCTTTCAATTTGCTTGATTATAGGATGCATAATTCCAGTAGTCTTGCCATTCATTCCACATTGCATTACTCCCTCTCAAGCTGGTGGTTTGTAGATGTCAAAAACTCTAAGCTTGTGAAGCAAATATGAATGTTGTCGACTACACAATAACTTTGTAAAAACGTCTGCTGATTGCTCTGAAGTTTGGATATGTATAGTCTTGATAACCCCTTCTTGAATTTTGTCTTGGACAAAGTGACAATCAATTTCGATATGCTTTGTCCTTTCATGGAATACAAGATTTGCCGCAATGTCATTGACAGCTTTGTTATCACATGTAAGATGACGGGTTTGCCTGTTTGTATCTCCAAATCCTTTAGTAACCCAAGAATCCAGACGATCTCACATTTGGTTTTTGCCATAGCTTTGTATTCAGCCTCTGCTGAAGATAATGATATTGTTGACTGTCTCTTTGTCTTCCAGGAAATTAAGGATCCCCCAAGCTTTATATAGTAACTAATTAGTGATTTCCTTGTCATTAGGCATGTACCCCAGTATGAGTCACAAATGGCTATTATACCTATGTATCTTGGTAGAAGAAGTCCTAGACCTGAGCAACCTTTCAGATATTTGAGCACTTTAGTTGTTGCCTCCATATGGGATTCCTTTGGTCCATGCATGAATTGGCTTAGGATGTGAATAGCATAACTTATATCTACCCGTGCCATGGTGAGACATATCAGTCTCCCCACAAGTCTTTGATAGATGGCCAGATTTTTTAATGAATGATCAATTTCTGAAGATGGCACTTCTTCATCATATTGTTGACTTGTGACTTTGGTGTTCTCCTCTACCAGAATCATGCTTGGTTTACATGCAAACAATCTAGAATCTAATACTAGCATAAGAACATATTTTCTTTGGCTAAGGGATATGTCAGTTGGAGACCTTGCGATTTCAATTCCCAAGAAGTATTTTGGCTCTCCCAAATCCTTTACTCGGAAATGTCTGTTGAGATGTTATTTCAGAGCTCGAATGGCGGGTCATCATTCCTTATAATGAGGATATCATCTACGTAAATGATTAGAGCAATAAATGATGTACCTTCGCGCCATGAGAAAAGAGCATAGTCATTCTTTTCTATGATTTTTGTATTCCATTGACAAGATGTTTGCTTTAGGTTGTAAAGGGAATTTTGCAGCCGACATACGGTACTCTCCCCCTAGCAGAGAAGTCTTGATGGGAGATCCATGTAAATCTCCTCATGAAGGTCGTCATGGAGAAAAGGCATTATGGACATCTATCTGGTGGAGGGACCAATCACAAATAGCAGCACCAGATAAGAATGCTCGAACAATTACATGTTTAGCAAAAGGGAAAAAGGTTTATTGGTAGTCAAATCCTTCCTGTTGAGTGAAATCTTTGGCAACCAGATGAGCTTTATAGCATTTAATGGACCTATCAGCTCAATGCTTAATTTTATAAACTTATTTACATCCAATAGGTTTCCAATGGTAAGGATTAGGTATAATGTCCCAAGTATAATTATGGGGAACATTGAGTTCATCAGCCATGGCTTATTGCCATTGTGCATGAGGAACATCATCTGAATACTAAGAAGGCTCTTGATCAGCGTAGATCTGACTGACACAGATCCAGTGGGCAGAAGAGAACAATCATAATTGACATAATTGGAAGTAGGGTAAAGGGCACCTAAGGCATTCTGAACAGTGGGGCAAACATAATCAATTGTCCCAATGGGCGGTCGAGTAAACCGTGTGGACCGGCGTGGGGCCAGTTTTGAGTGATCGGTAGAATTGTCAGGAAGAGTAGGGGATGAGTCTACCGAGGGAGAAGACTCTGTGTGAGGATCTGTGGAAACATAAGTAAAGTCTAGAGCTGTTGGAGAGGGACCCAGATCAGCTGTAGGAGGTAGGGGTGTTCAAAAACGGTTAACTGATTTTGTGAACCGAATCGGCTTTTAGGTTCAAGAATTTTCTTGAACTGAAACTGAACCAATTAAGGGGAAAATCAGTTTTTCAGTTAAACAAAAAATCGGTTAACCTATTTTGAATCGGTTTTAATTTAATATTTTTATAATTAATCGAATTTTCTTATTTTATATTTTAATTTAATATTTTTTATAATAAACCAGTTAGTAAAACTAGTTTCAATTAACCATTTTTCATATTCTCCCAAACCAGTAACCGAACCGAAAATTTATTTTTTAATTTCTTTGAACTGTAACCAACCCGGTTTTTCGGATAATCGAAAGTTCGGTTTGGTTAGATTTTTGCATTTTTTTGAACACCCCTAGTAGGAGGTGTCACGTCCCCTCTCAAGTATTGCCTATCCCGTCGGATCCAAGCGCTCTGAGGGACTTAGGATCCTGAGAGGAGGGTGAATTTTTTTTAAAACAGTTTGCAAAACGTTTAATGTCATTTGTACAAATCAAAACATAATTCTAAAAACGTAAATCTTAGAAAACAGTTTACATGAAACAATTGTATCAGAATGCTCTAACATGTACAAGCATCATGCCAACGAACATGCATCTGTGGGCCAACCAAAAGCATGTAGCATGTATAGGGGTGAAATCGAGTCGAGTATCTGGTAAATCGAACTTGACTCGATCGTTACAGTACCGAGTTCGAGCCTGATCGAGCCTGAAAAATCAAGTTTGAACTCGAACTCGGTACTTGAAATTGGAAATCGATTTCGAATTCGAGTTCATATAATCGAGTTTTTTTCGAGTTTTAGTCAAATTTTAATTGAAATTGAGTTCGAGTTCGAACTCGATTTCGAGCTCAACTAACAAGGGTGGATTTGTGAATTTTATAACTTTTAAATTACATATGACCTCTATTGCTTTAAAAACTATCAACTTAACCATCGAGCTTGGAAATATTTGCGAACATATCGAGTTGATTTCTATTGTGATCGAACTCGATTCAATTAACTACTCGAACTCGACTCGACTAATGCCGAGTTAAGTTCAAGTAGCTCGCGAGCAGCTTCACTCGATTTTCACCCCTAAGCATGCACCTCACGTACCTTATATGCAAACTAGGGGAAAAACATTACATAGTGAGCTATGAAGCCTAGTGAGTAGATTACATAATTTATAAATGAAAATAACTTTAACCCTAAACTTGCATGAGAAAACACTTGTATTTCTCGCAACACTTAACATTTTCCTTAGTGAAACCACACTTTCCTTATAAAGTTTTCAAGCACGATAAATCCTGAATTTGTACCCACTCAAGCTCAACAAGGAAATCAACATCCTTGTACAAATCTTCCAAATACCATGGATCATATATAATGGATAATGCACATAAATGATACACCAACCATCGAAGCTGAGTAGGCATTTCCCAACACGAAACCCACTCTTACTCAATAATACTCCCAAGTGTCCACAATTTCCACCCCAGCCTATACCCGCTAGATATTAACAATTTCCACCCCAGCCTATACCCGCTAGATATTAACAATTTCCACCCCAGCCTATTCTTGCTGGGTAGTTAACCAACTCTCTTCACACTGTTATTACAACCACCACCACTACCACCACACTAGTACCTAAGGTCCCTAATACAGACAACCAACTAGGCCACCCACAACCTATCCTCGCGGTGGCATCGTCCACAATCTATCCTCGGGATGGCCAAATCATCACAAGATAACCATACTCGACCCCCCATCTATACTTTGGGTGTCATGATATGGTATCTTATAAAAGAATCCCGCCCACAATCTATCCTTGGGGCTTCAAGTATCAATATCCCACCCACAGTCTGTCCTCGTGGTGGTACCATCCACAGTCTATCCTCATGATGGTATATTCATCACTGGGTAACCATACTCGACCCACAGTCTATCATCGGGGTGTTATGATATGGTATCCCATAGTATCCTGCCTGGAGCTCCTCAAGCGTCCGTACTGTCCTGATAGGAAGCTACCACCATGCGGTAGTATAAACCATCTCGATACGCTCGGGAGGCTAAGAAACAAAATACAGGCTAGCTGATATTTGAAGAGGTATGAGTACTATGGGAGGCTTATCTTAAATCCAAACAAAACATACCCTTTCACTCCAAGCGAAACACATCCCTACACACTCACCCGCATATTCAACACATCATATTTCCGAAATTCCCAACCTTTAATGATATCTCATGCCTTCATGTGAGTATGCGAATATGGTGCCTCATATAGTTCATAACAACACCAGCATGTACAAACGAGTGTCACGTTGTGAAATACGAACATGTAAAGTATCAATTCAACACTTATATTTTTTATTCACTTCAATCTAGTCCCAAACATTTCGAATCCTTACGTCAACCCCCCTTAACTTTTGGATTCTTCGTCAAACCCCTATACTTAAAACAACTAAAATGTCAATTTTTAGTGACCATCCCATGGAATGAAGGGAGCATCTGAAATTGGATACTCTTCCACTCATAATTCCTCGCTGCAGCACTTAAAACAATACAGGAGGGTGACGTTCCAATGGTAGGACGCACATACTCCTTCATTGGGCGGGGTGGATTCGCCATCTCTTTTTCTTATTCTGAATTTGATGCACTTGATTCTTCTGAACTTTCAGGTTCTCTTCTCTCTTTACCGATCAAATTTACCTTGTCAAAATAAGGAAGCACTTCTTCACCCAATGATCGGCGACCTTGCATTCAAAAGAACTCAAAACAAGGAAAAAGTGTAACGCGAAAATACACAAAACAACTAGAAAATAATAAAAAAAAACTAAAATAAAATCTAACTACAAAAATAAAATCACAAATATTAAAGAAATCAAATAACTCTAACTCCCCGGTAATGGCGCCAACAACTTGTTCGGTTAAAAACAACTTTAATTCCTC